CATTGACGCTGAAGTCAGGATCTGGCATCCTGCAGAACCAGAGGACACAACATCATTACATCAGCTCAGTTTATAGACGTATTTAATAACACTGAAGTTACACAGGGGCCTACTTGATTCCCAGTCCATCAGGCTTCTCAAAAACGACGGGGTCCCTCAGACCACCTCTCTGAATGAATGCGTATGTAAAGTCTGCAGAGAAATATACAAGCGTCATTCAACACAGGACTATAATCCATAGGACAAGAAGTACTGTCCTATGGATAATTAGGACAGTACTGTTGTTTCTTATATTAGGACAGCTTCCATCCTTCCACCAGATAAAACCTCCACAAACGCCGGATTGACACGAGTTTATTTCTACGCTCTGTGACTGGTGTGTTAGGTTTCTTGGGATTTGCAGATTTCACGGGGAGGTGATGTCAGAGTGCATGCAGCTGACCTTTTACAGTCACATGTATGAGCACAGCTCATGAGATCACAGTGAACACCATGTGCACTGTCCAGGGTCCTGAAAGCACATCTTTGTGTGGCATTCCTAATAAACTGGCATATCTCACTCTTCAAGCACGATCTCTCAAATTTCTGTGACACCACCTCAGTGCAGCAACGACTGCTGCTTTATAAGACATGTTTCTTCATTTAAATATTCCCTCGCTATAAGATTCTAAGAAGCAAAGAAAAAAGCGTCAGGCTCTGAAAAATAAAGCTCAGACGCAAAGACTCAAAGCTTAAACCCATATAAGAAACACAAAGACACTATACCTACGAATACAGTGTGTGTGTACACGTCCAGCCATCTCTCTCACACACACAACAATAAAAGTCATTTGGTTTGATTTGACAAGGGGAGTGGCCTAGTTTATATTACGAGGATCGAGCCAATCAGCAACGCTGCAACAACAGGTATGTGGACGAGCCGAACAACGCACCTGGTAAGAGCTTAACAGTGCACAGACTCTGCAGACGGGATCGTTTCTGCCCAACTGCAGGGTCTCCTAGTGTGAGCTGCTACAGGCAAAAATTATGGGTAGTATCATTTGTAGCGCTTTTACCATGTGATACGACCTTGACCCAGTTAAATCAGCTGATGTCTACTGTCACACAAACACTGAACGTAATATGTTGATGTGGGTGTGGCTGTTGGACTGCTGGACGGACAGAACCCAGGACACACTCCCTCCCTTTGGGAGAGAACGATGGAGACAGTGTTCACACCAACCTTTTCCATCCATGCGAAGCACTCGGTCAGAGCTGAACCTCTCACTGTTAACCTTCTCCTCCAGGTCAAACATCCTCCTCCCATCAATCTCCTCATCCGAGATGCCATCATCATGGTAACGCTGCTGGTTACGAGCACGCTAGAGAGGAGAACAGAGTAAGAGGGATGGTAAAAGACAGAGGACTGAAGTGCTTTGGATGGACATTAACCCAAACTGGACAGTCCTTCTTATCAAACCAACCGCAAAAGAAAAAGTCCAAAGTGGCGCTTCACAGAGTGGCAGCTAAAAGGATAAGAAGTAACCATTTCTACAGCCTCGTGCCAAATATCTGAAAACTCTAATTATGGTTCATGAGCATTAGGTTCTGTAGGGGAAGCTTCCCAGCACTGCCAAGTGTTCACTCACAGGGATCACCCCTGTCGTATCCTAGGCCTGACAGCAGCTACTGAGTACTGAATGGGTATAAATGAAATGGGCTTGAATGGCAGTCCATGTTAGGGCCCACCTCAGTTCTTTTTGACCAAGAAGATGAAAACAGCTTCATCGTGAAGCACCAGGAACTATAAAATCAGCACTTTAATAGATTCATTGTCCTCAAAACGATCCGACTTTGGGCCCGAGGCTGCAGCCTCCCACAGCAGACACCGAGAGGACACCAGCGCACCACGGGGCCGACACACGGAGACAAGCACACACGCAGGACTTAATCGGATTCACGTGCACAGGTGTGAACTCCAGCAAAGGGAGGAAGAGGCATGTGTGATCATCATCATCATCATGATGTTAGTCCAGGATCGAGACTGCAACTGATCATCACATTGTTGTGATTAGGGCTGGGCCATATCATACCGTTCACGGGAATACCGGTGTAATGTTGGGCAATAATAAGAAAACGAAATATGGCAATAGAATATGGGTAAAAAGCGCAAGCGCAGTACCTTTGTTTACATACGCACATGGTGGAAAAAGCATGGCGGCGACGGAGAACGAGAAGAGCGAAAGCGGATCGTTGAATGAAACGATGAACCTGAACTGGTTTGTAAAAGTGCAGCTTCAGTGGTGTGGAACTGGTTTAGCTTTCCTCTGTCAGATACACAACAAAGCACTATTTTTGGTAGCGCATGCTAGCGGGCCGTCGTTATTACCGAACACGGCGCTCAAGAATCTATCAAAGTACGACTTTGCTGAACTATGAAGCCGCACCACTGGATGGATTGTCTTGCTGACAGAATGGTTAAACTGTCAGCAACGAATTAGCATTTGCACTGTTACATTTTTATACAACTTTAATGTGCATAAAAACAAACAAACAAACAAACAGCTGCTTGTTTAAGTAAAAATACATTGATGGTTTTTTTGCACTAATAAAGTTGAGATGTAAAGTATTTTGTCTCGTGTCAATTATATCGTCAGTTATTTTGTTATCGCAAATGTTTAAATATATATGGTGATAAGTATTTTGGCCATATTGCCCTGCCCCAGTTGTGATGTATAGTTGTTTATAGCAGAGTCTTCTGGAGCAAACCACGAGCTCTAACTGTTAATAAACAAGTTATCAACATAAATTAACAGCCAACTTATTTCACTCATGCTGGTTTGCTAGTGTTACTCTTTTTAAACACCTGCTGACTTCTTTTTATAATGCTAACTGAAAGCTCAGGCTGGCTGCAACATTTATCCTGGCCCTGCATCATTATTATGATGATGTCAAACAGATACTTGGGGTACAGACTGATAACACACGTACACTGAACCCGCGTGTGAAACGTGCGTCCATCACCGTCTTCATGTTCCTCAGGACTCTTACCTTATTAGGTCCTTTTTAAAGAAAATAAACCTGGAGTTGAAAATGATGGGGAAAGGCGCTGGGTGCCATCTTATCCTAACCCCTCATACTAACATACACACACTCTTCATTAACTGATGCCTCAGGCACAGATTCATTAGTACTTTTGGCTGTTGGTCATTATAAGTCATTCAGCATTTTCCTTTGTATAATGTACAAGTACTAAAAGGTTAACTACAGAGTTTCCCTCAATTACCTCCTTACTAGCTGCATTTTCACAGTAAATAACAAAGTTCTGTATATGAATTTGCCTACGATTTCAAAACACTTCTAAGGAACATGAACAGTAAGTCTGCAGGTACACAAAACTGCAAGCAGCAGGCGTGTCTGTTTACTCACAAACAGACACACTTGAGAAAAAAAAATTTGGACATGAAAGCAAAGTGCTGGTTAACACCACTCCACACCTGCCTGATAGCAACTGCCATGTGTTGGCCAGAGAGAGGACCACTGTGTTTACTTGGTAGATCAATGAAAGGACTCAGTTACTTGAGAGGGAGTTGCCCACAGCTCTCTTCAGTTTGACACCCTGCTCTACAGCATATCTTCCCGCTGTGCTTCACCCTCACGGACCCGGCGCATACTGTGATGCAGCTTTGTCAGATATGGTACTGCACAAGACGCACGTGAAGCTGAAGCTCACAGATAAAGTTGCAGTGATTTGACTGAAGGCAGACACTGAGCGTTGAGACTGCTCTGCGTCCCTGCGTCCTGCAGTGGTCTCCCGCTGTAACAGAAAACAGGGCTCAGGCTGAGGTAGCAGAACCAGCGTGTTGGAATCTGCCCGACACTTACCAGTCTTTTGCTGTAGCGCGGTTTGGAATCATCCATTTTCATTCATGGAACCAAAGGCGGGTCCTGAGTGCCACTACAGACACCAGTGGGCAGCGATGGTCCCACAGGAGCCGTCACTGTGCTGTCCTGGCAGGGCTCGCTGCCTACCTCTAATTCACCGACTTCTTACAATTTAGTCGCATACAGAGCCGGACTCGCTGGCTTTTAGAAAATCCGACAGGACCGTTTAATGTTCGAGCTTCTTTATCTGGTTTTTGACAGCCACACTCCTCTCTAGCTTACGTAGCTGCCCTGTCACTACCCTACAGAGACAAAACGACATGACTCCGGAACGGCTATCAACATTTAAAAAAACAACAAGAAGCTGGCACTATTACTTGCTTTAGTCCTAGCATGGTAATAAAGTTAGTTCCTTCTCCGAACAGCCGCCATTTTCACTATACCCCGCCCACAAACGAACACTGGACCATTCACACTCATGCCCACGACCCTTTCATTGGACGACAGCTGTGCCACTCACGCGAAAGAACTGTAATTTCTGATTGGATATGGCCAGCCAATCAACATATAAAGAAATTGGGAAGCAACCAATAACAGCACACTTCCAAAACAAACTCACATCTAATTGGTTGATATAGTCAAAACAGGTCGACTAGTGGACAAACGCGTAATCAGTCAAAAGAACTAGCCAATCGCGCTAACAGTTATCGTGCTAACAGTTATCACAATAACCACCGCCTATCACTCAATACAACTAGTCATTACTTTCAAATAACACGATTACACAAAAATAATGCGTTTTAAATGCCTACCCCCATCGCAGCGGAGATCCGTCCACTTGCAAACACCTGCCGTAATCGGAGACGTATTACGCCCTCTGTGGCCTGTTTTCTTCTCTCAGAGGCACACGGCGGACGGACACGTTTTGTAGCCTTCAACCCAACAAGGAAGTGCCCGCAGCCCCATAAATGGAAGTGCACTTTGAACAGCTTACTGTTGATTGGCTGGAGAATGTTGCGTAGCGCTCGTGATTGGTGGCAGGGACTGTTTGTCAAACGCGTACAGCTTGAGTACGGCGAGCGAGAGGAAAACGTCGGCAAACGCTAAGGTGAAATAAAATGGAAGTGGAAGTGTAGTAACTGACAGATTGATTTTTATTCAAAAAGTGAAGAAAACTACAAACGATGCACTTTTATAAATAGTTCGCCGTGCTCAGAGCCACGGCCTTCAGTCAGCAGCAGACACAAACACACAGCGTGTACAAAGAAGCTAACGATGAAGCGCTGGAAGCATCGGCAGACCAGACCTAACAGCGTGTCCCTGTGAATGCACACCTCAATCCCCGGAATTTGATATTTAGCGGTCCTAGGATCAAATTTGAAGATGAATAAAATCTGTGATAGTTCATTGTCACACAACAGCTGCCTGTCGACTATCGATGACCTCTCCCGGCAGGACAAATCTTCCAGGTTATTTTTCTGAACACACTGCGCAACTAAAGAGTCTGCCATCAGTTTGTTCAGACGCCTCAGTAAACTTCCAATTGGAATTTTATTGGAATACACATTTTCAAAAATATTGATATAGGAGAGCAGGCTCTCAGTTCACGAGTGGGCTGTACTGCATCCAACATCACAGTGTGGGTCAGAGCAAGTGCAAGCATAACAAGCATAAAAACAGACACACAAGCACATTATACAAACATGAGAGTTCAGTCGTAATAAACACAAATAACAACGATCTAAACCAAATACCTGAATCATCAAATGATTTGTATTTCTAATCTTACACATTTAAAATGAACATCAGTTCCTGAGTCACACCATCTAAGATGAGCCATTTTTAATCACTTCAAGGTTAAAAGCTCACTATGTGGATTTTTACTGTGAATCCTAAAGGCCTCTCGACGGGCCTGCTGTGGACATGGGCAGGATGCAGTCTACAGCACAGGTGTGTCAGGTACCAGCACCTGCTGTAATCACTCTAATATTAATGGACACCCTCTGCTGTTTATTCCTTACACAGCAACACAACAGCTAATCTTCCTAATAAAAGCTTTTCATGGCTGCATTATTCAAAAGTTGTTTACAAATCAGGTGCACTTTCCTGAATATGGATATGACAAGAGGACAAATCAGTGAATGAAAATGAAATGGAGCATGCTAGCAGTCACACTCAGTAATTCACAGGCTTGGCCCTGATTGTTGGTGACCTTTCATGCTGCACATTTTCAAATTCCAAGTTTGGTTCTGAAAAATCGCTCCACAGCAGAACAACTGCAGCAGGGTTAGAGTAAGACGTATCACACACATTTGCACTGAGCACAGCTAAGTAACGATGAGCTGATGCTAACACATTAAACATGCATGTAGCCCTATGATGTGGACATTCTTGGTGGGATTATTGACGTGTCGGTCGCTGCACTGAAAGGTCTCCAGCTTTTCTTTTCTGTTTTGTGCACACAGTCATATTCAGTTTGTTATTGGACAGGTTAGGGACACAGACTGGAGCGAGGCCATGAAGAAGAAAGCTGTCGTCATGTTTTTCTGATTGAACTGATCATAAATGTGGCGCTTTGTTCCTGATATGTAATGAAATTAGAGCAAACTGAGTGTCCTGCGGCCTCCCGTGGCCTCAGATGGTGGGAGACTTTCTTCATTAGGGTCTCTATTTGATGAAGCTGTAGACAAATGAACCCAGGACGACAGCCAAAATCACGCAGCAGCAGAAGATCATCATTTGTTTCTGGAGAGACAAGTTGGTTCGGGGGGGAGGGGTCAGAGACAGAAGGTGGTGTTAAACGAGATGACTCCCGGTCAGGCCGAGCAAGACTAAACACACTCTACATCTACAGCCCAGGCCCCCAGGGTCTGAACAGGCCCCTAAAGTGCCCAAAACACAACAGTCTCAAAGTGACCGGAGCACACAAGCCAGTGAGGTTTAACCCGTTTGCTTCACAAAAAGACATTTTTCCCCCGAAGGATCTGAACGTGGCTGCACCACGCTGTAACACGCTGTAACATGCTGTAACACGCTGTAGCACGCTGTAACACGCTGTAACACGCTGTAGCACGCTGTAACACGCTGTAACACGCTGTAACACGCTGTAACACGCTGTAACACGCTGTAACATGCTGTAACACGCTGTAACACGCTGTAACATGCTGTAACACGCTGTAACATGCTGTAACACGCTGTAACACGTAACACGCTGTAGCACGCTGTAACACGCTGTAACATGTAACATGCTGTAGCACGCTGTAACATGCTGTA